AGGGCACTCACTTGGGATGTGGGAAACCCATGTTTGAATCCCCACTCTGCCAGATATGGAGCAGGGACTTCAATTTGAGTCTCCCACATCCTATGTGACTGCCCTAATCACTGGGTGTAGAGTCAGTCTCTCACTGAGATGCCTTTGAAAATCCCACTAGGTGCCCATCTTCAGATTTACAAATTCATTCTGGCTCTAAGTCACTTTTAAAAATGGGAATGAACAGAACAGGGCAATTATTGAATGATCCAGCCTGTTATCCAGTCCCAGCATCTGGCAGTCAGAGGTTTAGGGTCACCCAGAGCATGGGGTTGCATCCCTGACCATCTTGGCTAACAGCCATTGATGAAACTACCCTCCATGAACTTATCCAAATCTTTTTTGAATGCTATTATACTTTCGGCCTTCACAACATCCTTGGGCATTGAGTTCCCCAGGTTGACTGTGCATTGTGTGAGGAAGTACTTCCTTATGTTTGTTGTAAACATACTGCCTATTAATTTAATTGGGTGACCTTTGGTTAATTTGTTATGGGGTAAATAATACTTCCTTATTCACTTTCTTTACACCATTCATGATTTTACAGAACTCTATCATCTCCCCCTCTTAGTCATCTCTTTTCTAACATGAAACAATCCCAGTCTTTTTAATTTCTCCTCATATGGAAGCTGTTCCATACCCCTAATCATTTTTGCTGCCTTTCTCTGTATTTTTTCCAATTCTAATACAGCTTGTTTGAGTTGGGGTGACCAGAACTGGATGCAGTATTCAAGGTGTGGGTGTATCATGGATTTATATAGTGGCATTATATTTTTTGTCTTATTATCTACCTCTTTCCTAATCATGGCTAACATTACTAGGGTTTTTTTTGAGTGCTGCTGCACATTGAGCAGATGTTTTCAGAGAAATATCCACAATGACTCCGAGATCTCTTTCTTAAGAGGTTTAGACCCCATCATTTTATAGGTATAGTTGGGATTATGTTTTCCAATGTGTATACCTTTACATTTATCAACATTGAATTTCATCTGCCATTTTCTTGCCCAGTTTTGTGAGATCCCTTTGTATCTCTTTGCACTCAGCTTTGGACTTAACTATCTTGAGTAATTTAGTACCATCTGCAAACTTTGCTGCCTCACTGTTACCCCTTTTTCCAGATCATTTATGAATACGTTGAACAGCACTCGTCCCAGCACCAATCCTAGGGGGACCCCGCTATTTACTTCTCTGCACTGTGAAAACGACAGCTTATCCCTACCTTTGTTTCCTATCTTTTAACCAGTTATTGATTCATGAGACGACCTTCCCTCTTAGCCCATAACTGCCTGCTTTGCGTAAGAGCCTTTGGTGAAGGACCTTCTCAAAAACTTTCTGAAAGTCCAAGTACACTGCATTGACTGGATCACCCTGGTCCACAGGTTTCTATGTTTCTAATTCTAACTGATAAGTGATGAACGATTTCCCTTTCCAAAAGCCATGTTGACTCTTTCCTAACATATCGTTTTCATCTGTGTCTGATGATTCTGTTCTTTACTATAGTTTCAACCAATCCACCAGTTAGGCTTACTAGCCTATAATTGCCAGGATTATCTCTGGAGCCTTTTTTAAAAACAATTGTTGTCACGTTAGCTATCCACCAGTCATCCGGTACAAAGGATGATTTAAGCAATAGGTTAGATACTACAGTTCTGCAATGTCATAGCTGAGTTCCTTCAGAACTCTTGGGTGAATACTGTCCAGTCCTGGTGACTTATTAATGTTTAATTTATCAATTTGTTCCAAAACCACCCCTATTGACATCTCAATCTGGTACAGTTATTCAGATGTGTCGCTTAAAAAGAATGGCTCAGGTGTGGGAATCTCCCTCACATCCTCTGCAGTGAAGAACAATGCAAAGAATTAATTTAGCTTCTCCGCAGGGGCCTTGTCTTCCTGGAGTGCTCTTTTAGCCCTTGATCATGCTAAAGGAGCTCTCAACTTCCACTTACTGCACTGGGAATTAATGGTGCTCTGCACCTCACAAAAAGAGATGCAGGACTGAGACCTTACTCAAAATGTACCCGAACTGGAGTTCTAATACTCTCTAAAAGTGCTTAGACTTTACAGTGAGAAGTGACATATAAATGTAGGTGCATTGGTAGGAACATAGGAATTGCCAGACGGGAGCAGACCTGACATCCGTTTAGTCCAGTATCTCATCTCTGACAGTGGCCAGTACCAGATGCTTCAATGGAAGGTGTGGGAATGCTGCAGTAGTAGATGTGGGATAATCTGCCTCTCGCATTAGGTCTCATTCTGATCTCACGTACTTAGAGATTGGCTTAAACCCTGAAGCATGAGGTTTAATATCTTTCCACAATTTTTGTTATCATTAACTCTGGATAGTCCTGACACCCACATAAGGGTCCAGTCCTTTTTTGAATCATGTCAAGTTCTCTGCCTCCAATACTCTCCATGGCAGTGACCTCAACTGCATATTGAGCAGAGATTTTTATTGAGCTGTCAATAATGATGCCCATGTCTTTCTTGAGTTGATAAAGATAGCCCTTATGGGGCTTCATAGAGTTTATCACTGAAGAGTGGGGGCTTTCTCTATTCCTGACCTAGCCAAATCCCTAACCAGTGACACGTCTGCCTTGAAATAGGCATAAGATACAAAAGATAAAACCGGTGATGCTGGATCAGACCCAAAATTTACCAACTCCTGCATCTTGCCTCACTGTCCGGCAACAAACAAACAACTCCAGAACAACAGCTGGATTAGCCAAACAGCTGATTGCGCTCAAAGCATAACTTCCAGAAAGGCCTCCAGTCTGATTTGAAGCTATCAAGAGATGGAGAATCCACCATCTCCCTGGATAGTTTGTTTCAACATTTAATCACCTCACCGCTGGAAATCTGAATTTGTCTGGTTTGACCATCCAGTCAATGGTTCTTGTTATGTTTTTCTCCACTGGATCAAAGAGCCCTTTAGAACATGATATTTTCTCCCTGTGAAAGTACTGATGCACTATAATCAAGTCACTTCACAATCTTCTTTTTGATAAGCTAAATAGACTAAGTTGTAAGGCATTTTCTCCTGCCCTCAAATCATTTTTGTGGCTCTTTTCTGCATCCTATCCAATGTTTCAGGATTGCGTGCTATATCAGGGATGTTATAAGGGTATCAATATTTTCTTTTATATTAGCAGTATTGGAAGCTGCGTGTGTGACCATCTACTACTGCATACTGTGCAAGCCCCTTTACATTTCCCCTTTTGTCCTGTATATGTGGGTATACAATGCACATCAGGGTCCATTCTTGCAATAAGGTCCATGCAGGCAAACCCATGTGCTAGCACAGAGATGGTTTGAAGTCACTAGGGCACTGCATGTATGCAGTGATCTGACCACACAGAGCTCATTGCAGGGCCAGGGCTCAGGTTATCTTAGAAGTGGAGCATTTCCTATTAACTGATCTTGAGCTCATCTTTAAAACTAAAGCTGGGCTTCAAGCTGCAAATTTGTATCCCGCATCTGGATTTTTAATGCCCCAAAGTTTGGGGGAATCTGGATCCAGGGTTTTAATATGGCCCATTATAGAGCTACTGGCCAATTGCAAAAATTAGATTCAGTCTCAGTTCAGATTGTGAAAACTCTCATATTCCGGGGTTCTGGTCAGTTGCATCTCTATTCAAAATGTTTAACAAAGCCATCACATAAATGTAATTAAATTCTTCACAATATGCATTTGTTTGTTTTCTACACTGAAAAAAGAAACAGATGCCTCCCTAAAGTTCTTTAGGGCAATGAAAACACAAAGAAATAGGAGAAATTTCTCAGTCAAAATATTCTATTAACAGATTAAATGGTAACATCAAGAGCTCAAAGTGAAAACGTTTTTGGTGCCACTCAAAATGTTTTTTGGTTCTTGATGAGAATGAAAATGTAAGGATTTGACTAGGGAGAGGCAGGATCTCTTATTTTAACAATGATGAGCTCAGTTTTCAAACTTGGGCCTCCAGTTTGGGATCTGAGCACTCACCTCAACATGGAGATGCTTACATCGGCTCTTACGGTACCTAAATGCTGATTTGAGTAACACAATGTAGAACAAGTGCCCTAATTTAGTTTTGGAAATATGAAAGTTGTGATCTGAGTTTTTGAATAAATTAGTTTTTGCTGGCAGAGGGACAGGCAGACAATTGTATTTACCTTAAACTATTTGGTAGGAAAATCACCTCTTATTCTGTGTTTGTCAAACAATCAAGACATTTTATGACACTACGTAAATATAATTATTAATAATTACCACAACAACATTTGGTTGCTTAAAGACTACTTCATTCCTTATGGAATCAAAACATAAAACAGGAAAGGGGGGCAGGGAAACTCTGGAGAAATGAACTACCTCAGTAATGGACAGTAGAAAAATAGATTCTCTTTGAATCCCATGCTGTAACCTGTAACAACAATCTTAGTAAGCTAGACCTTTTCCATTGCAGAAATGAATTATCTAGCAATAGTCTTTGGCAAAAACAAAAGGGAACAAAGTAGGGAACCTTGCTGCCTCGACATCAGAGGCGTTCTGCTTGGAAACAGGCTTGCAGGACTGGCAGACTCAGATCCTAGTCCAAAGCCCACTGAAGTCAATGGCAAGACTCCTCGTGGCTTCAGAGGGCTTTGGATTGCTGAATTTTGTCAATTAGTAAACAAATTGGGATCGTAACAGGTTCTGCGTTCATTGGTTTTGACCCACTGTCCTTTATATATTACTACGTAATGCACCATTAATACCCTGTTTCCCCGAAAATAAGACATCCTCCGAAAATAAGGCC